ACTCTCCCTCCAACGTCAACAGCTGCAAACTTCCATAGTCTTCGGGTCTTTTACCAAATGATGGAGTGGAAAGGGGGAAGTGAACGTATGGACCCAAAAGACTAGGGGTGGCATGTTTTGGATGGAGATTTATGCCAATAATGACCGGACGGTCAGAAATACTAGATGTAGTCCGCTGTAGTTGCAAGAAAGACTGCGGCACAAAGAGATGCACATGCAAAAAACATGGACTCCCTTGCACTGCCATTTGCGGAGAATGCCGTGGTACTAGCTGCACAAACTCACAGTTGCCTGATTTATCAGATGAATATGACCCAGAGGGGAAGAACTAAGCAAAGAACAAACCAGCAACTGATATAGGGGGTGCCAGAACCAAGAGCCACAGAGAAGGGGTCGAGGATCCAGACTGGATAAAAAAGAAAAGAAAAGAAAACATAAAATAAAAAACACCCAACCCTCCCCTGAGGCTTGTGTGCCTCTGTGACCCTGAAGACTAGTGATGGGTGTATATATATCGATACTGATGTCGAGAATCGAAAGTATTGATACTCAAATAAAAATATCGATACTACAGGTTTTTTTTTTTTTTTACCAGTGATTTTGTTTATTTGACAAGAAATCCAATGCGTACAATATGCATAATGAATGTATATTGGATGAATAACCTATGTTAGTGAATAATTGTGTAGTAGAACCACTTCCCTGCTTATCTGAACTGAACACGCAAATGCTGCAAGTCAGAACCAATCAATCATAGAGAGTGTTCACACACTGCTAACAATGCATTCAAACCACTAATATATTGTCATTAGATAGATCAGTGATTCAAACAATGCTTAACAGAAGACAGAAAAATATATATTTGAGCTATTTCACAATAAACAAATTGTAGCCTACATAGTTTGTGCAATTAAATTGTTTTTAATTGAATGTTAAAAGTTCATACTGATGTTCTATTCTGTAACTAATTTTAATATAAATCATACACTGTCAGAATAAAAAGGTTACATTTTATTGGTGTCACTGGCAGTCCCTTATGGAAATGAACATTACAGTGACCATAGTTCAAATAGGCCTATAATATTTTGTAGATTTCCATGGTTACCACTACAAGTAAACATTTTAACCATGTGTAAATAAAAATATAATCTAATAAATTCCAATTAAGGCATATTGAATGTTAAAATGCCTTTCAAATATAATGTTTAATGGGTATCATTACCCATTTTAATCTTTGTAATTTGATCATTTAAGAAATTTTCAAATTTAAAAGGTCAGTTTAGAAGTATCGTATTGGTATCCGTATCGACGATACTGGCCTTGAAAATATCAGTATCGTATTGAAAACAAAATAAGTGGTATCGCCCATCACTACTGAAGACTATACCGGCAGGGGTTATACCCCTGGCAGGTACTACCAAGCCAGGCAGTTTTCAGGTTAGAGGCCAGTCTAAAAGCAGCATTGCCATCTCCCATTGGCAGTAGGATGATTGGATGAAGATTGGGCCGATTTGTCATACATATGAAGGGTGTTTCTGCCTATGCACATTAGGACATGTGGAGCTCATGTGCATATTCAAATTCATTTCAAAAGAAACTTGTAATACAAAAAAAGTTACTTTTCTTGTATACTTTGTAAATTTTTATTGTGGTAGGAATAAAGGAAAAAAATAAGTCTATTTGGGTGTATTTGGGCATTTTCGATTAGTGTATAGCTCATTTGCATATTAAATTTCATTTTCAAAGAAACTTCTAATACAAAAAAAATTACTTTTCATGGATACTTTCATTTTGTAAAGTTTCATTTTGATAGGAGTAAAGGAAAAAAATAGCCCCATTGAGGTGTATTGTTGCCTGGCCTTATTGGCACAAATCTCGGATTGATGAGAATTAAACATATTTCCTCAACTAGGATTTCTTAGGACTTTTAGTATGTTGTTCTGGACACCTTATAGAAATGATCTATGCTGCAAAAAATACTTTTACAATTAGTCTGTCGTAAAACGCTACTTTGCCTGGACTATACCTCCAGGTTATAGTATTTTATAAATGTAGACGGCGAGGCCTAGCCCGCGGCCGTACAGATATCTTGCAGGGAAACCCCGCTTGACCATGCCCACGAAGAGGCCACGCCTCTCGTGGAGTGCGCTCTGACACCCAAGGGGCACTGCAGGCCCTTTGCAGTGTAAGCGAGCGCAATGGCATCCACTATCCATCTGGATAGGCTCTGTTTTGAGGCGGCAAGTCCCTTGGAACGCCCGCCAAACAAAACGAAAAGCTGCTCCGTCTGTCTGAAAACAGACGAGCGCGACACATAAGCTCTCAATGCCCTGACGGGGCAAAGGAGACTCGCGTCCTCCTCCTCACTGAGAACCGGAAGGGGGGACAGGGAAATTACCTGGGCCCTAAACGGTGTATAGAGGGATTTCGGCACATACCCGTGCTTAGGTTTGAGAATGACCTTCGAGTCATTAGGCCCAAACTCCATACATGACGCGCTTACTGAAAGCGCCTGCAAGTCCCCTATGCGCTTCACTGAAGCGAGAGCCATGAGAAACACTGTTTTGAACGACAGGTGTTTCATGTCCACCAGCTGGATTGGCTCGAACGGGGCGCCTTTCATGGCCTCCAGGACCGTGGAAAGGTCCCACGTCGGGACTGAAGGGGGCCTGGGAGGGTTCAGCCTCCGAGCTCCCCTAAGGAAACGCACGACTAAGTCGTTTTTCCCCAGCGACTGGCCAGACACCGGTTTTGCAAACGTTGCTATGGCCGCCCCATATACTTTGAGCGTGGATGGGGTCCTGCCCTTATCCAGTAGCTCTTGAAGGAAGGAAAGCACTTCCGAAACCCCGCATTCCACAGGTGAAAAGCTCTGGGCTTGACACCATGCAGAGAAAACAGACCATTTCGAGGAGTAGAGCCGCCTGGTAGACGGAGCTCTAGCCTGCGCGATCGTGTTTAACACTCCTTCTGGGAGGCTAGCGGGTACCCGTTGATGGCCCATGCGTGCAGGGACCATAGCTCCGGGCGAGGGTGCCAAATCAAGCCCTCCGCCTGAGAGAGGTCTCTCCTCAATGGTACAGGCCATGGGGCAGTGCTGGTCAGCTGCATCAGGGCAGGGAACCACGTCTGGTTTGTCCAGAGCGGAGCTACGAGCAGCACTGGGCATCCGTTTTCCCTGATTCGTTCCAACACCTGAGGCAGGAGCGAGACAGGAGGAAAAGCATATAGGGGGCAGCGGGGCCAAACATGAGCCAGCGCGTCCTTGCTTTTCGAGAAAAACTCCGGGCAATGAGCGTTTTCGTGGGACGCGAATAGGTCCACCTGTGCTCTGCCGAACGTTTTCCACAGCAGCTGGACCGTCTGCGGGTGCAGCGACCATTCCCCTGCTGGAACATTGTTCCTGGACAGTCTGTCTGGTCCCACATTCAGGTGACATTTGCATTTGCAGTGCAAATAGCCATTTGCACTGAAGGATACAGGGCAACAACGGCAAAATTCATAACACAGTGTACAGTGTGTACGTAACACAGCGTCAGTTGCATCGCACGACTGTGAATACGTAGTAATCGGAATAGCCATTTGCACTGAAGGATACAGGAACAGGGCAATATATAATGGCATAAATCATACACATAACAGTGTGTAGTGTGTACGCAACACAGCGTCCGTTGCATCGCAACAACTGTGAATATGTAGTAATCAGAATAGCCAGTTGCACTGAAGGGTACAGGGCAATATCGTGGCATAAGCATAACACACACATATCAGTGTACATAAACACAGCGTCAGTGGCATCGCACAACTGTGAATACATAGATGAATCAGAATAGCCAGTTGCACTAAAGGATACAGGGCAATTTATAGCGGCATGAATCATGAACACATAACAGTGTGTAGAGTGCACGTAAACACAGCGTCATTCCATCGCACAACAACTGTGAATACGTGGTAATCAGAATAGCCATTTGCACTGAAGAAACAGGTCAACATATAACGGCGCAAATCTTAATACATATCCGTGTGCAGTGTGTACATAAACACAGCGTCAGTGGCGTTGCGACAACAACTGTGAATACGAGGTTAAATCAGAAGGCCAGTTCCACTTTGGGATACAGGGCAGTATATAAAGGCATAACAGTTAAATCATAGCACATATCAGTGTGCAGTGTGTACATAAACACAGCGTCAGTGGCGTAGCGACAACAACTGTGAATACGTGGTTAAATCAGAAGGCCAGTTGCACTGAGGGATACAGGGCAATATATAAGGGCATAACAGTTAAATCATAGCACATATCAGTGTGCAGTGTGTACATAAACACAGCGTCAGTGGCGTAGCGACAACAACTGTGAATACATGGTTAAATCAGAATGGCCAGTTGCACTGAGGGATACAGGGCAATATATAAGGGCATAACAGTTAAATCATAGCACAAATCAGTGTGCAGTGTGTACATAAACACAGCGTCAGTGGCGTAGCGACAACAACTGTGAATACATGGTTAAATCAGAATGGCCAGTTGCACTGAGGGATACAGGGCAATATATAAGGATATAACAGTTAAATCATAGCACAGATAAGTGTGCAGTGTGTACATAAACACAGCGTCAGTGGCATAGCGACAACAACTGTGAATACGTGGTTAAATCAGAATGGCCAGTTGCACTGAGGGATACAGGGCAATATATAAGGATATAACAGTTAAATCATAGCACAGATAAGTGTGCAGTGTGTACATAAACACAGCGTCAGTGGCATAGCGACAACAACTGTGAATACGTGGTAATCAGAATAGCCATTCGCACTGAAAGAAACAGGGCAATATATAACGGCACAAATCATAGCACATATCACTGTGCAGTGTGAACATAAACACAGCGTCAGTGGCGTAGCGACAACAATTGTGAATACGTGGTTAAATCAGAATGGCCAGTTGCACTGAAGGATACAGGGCAGCCTGCCGACATAAGCTGTAAGCTGTGCACCTCCATTACCAGAGCGGGGCGTCTAAAGGCAAGACAGGGAAGGACCCACGTCTGGCGCGGCGCTCTCCGTGGCCTGTGTCGCCACATTCCCGGTCCCGCCCTCTGCCAACGGTGAAGATCCGGTTAATTTGGGTTCGAACCGTTTTGGCGGCTGTAGCCGAATTTAGGCGGGACGAGGTACCGACGAAGAGAGACATCGAGGAAGGCTGGACCGTAATAGAGACTTCATAGCATCATCACTTTCGCGCCTTTAGACACAGAGCCATGGCCTTGCCTCGTCTCTCGGACGCGTCTTGCGCATGACTTACCATAGGACGTCGTGGAAGACGGAGTCTTTCTTAAAGTAGTCTGGCTAAGATACCAGGCTAAAGTAAAATAATAAAAGTATCCTTTTCGACGAAGCCTATCGCGTCGAGTCCTTCTAGCGAGCCCGCGAAAAGGACCGGAGAGGCGACGGGCTAGGTTAAAATGTGTCTGATGCGAGAGCCGGGATTGAACACGGGTCTCTCGCGCGAAGGCTTCGGGTTCCGCCACTGAGCCACAGGGGAGAACAACTGTCAACTCGTCTTTGGGCGGGAGAGGGCCCACCAGCGGCCGCTGGCGGCAGTGGGCCTCATCCCTGCTGATGCCCGGGTGCGATATTTTTTTTCACAGGATGGTAGGGGAAGACTCATGAATATTCGTTAGGGAACTCATCCCTGATTGGTCTGATGACCTACCCCCTAACCCCGCCCCTAAACCTACCCGTCACTGGGGGTATGATGACCTACCCCTAACCCTGCCCCTAAACCTACCAGTCACTGGGGTTAAGACCAATCAGGGATGAGTTCCCTAATGAATATTCATGAGTCTTCCCCTACCATCCTGTGAAAAAAAATATCGCTGCCCGGGTTTATTCCCCTGAGGACGCGCACTGAGTGCGGCCTCGGTAGATCTTCTTGTTTGGGTAGAGCGAGTCAATAGAACCCGCACATATCTGGCATGTAGCAGCCATCGGATGCGGGGAGGAAACATGGTGAGTAACCTCTATTGCAACTTCCACGATGACTTCAGATAAGACTTCTAGTGTGAAGAAAGAGATTCTGACGTAATTGTCGCGCCCATGCTATTTATACTGCCCGCGGACCGGTCAGCATTTGCATGTTTTGCGTCAATTGGCCAGCTGTCCCCAGCTGGCGTTAGCCTATAAGATTTCAGTGAAAATGGAGAAGGGAGGAGTTCCCATATACGTCAGTATGACATAATGTCGAAGTGACCGCCTTGGCTGACGTTGTTAACATTAACAATTTGAGAACAAAGTGTAATTTGCACGGTTTTGCGTGATATGATAAGCGATTTTTAGATTTAATCAGCGCGATTTACTGCAATGTCAAAACCAGAACAAAAGTGGATGTTACTTACTTGTTCAGATGACATTTTCCGGTGAAAATTATAATGTACGTAAATAAGGGAAAATATAAGTACGGTTTGGACAACTTTTTGAGTGCTTTGAGATAAAGATATATTGAACACAGAGAAAGAGTCAGTGCAACTGATTGAATGAACAGTTAATAGAGATTTGCAGTTAAAGGGTTTGTTCACCCAAAAATGAAAATTTTCCCATAATTTACTCACTCTCAAGCCACCCAAGTGTATATTACTTTCTTCTTTCAGCCAAACACACAATCTGAGTTATATTAAAAAAATATCCTGGCTCTTCCATGCTTTATAATGGGAGTGAATGGTACCTTACATTTTGAAGCCCCAAAAGCGCATCCATCCATCATAAAAGTAATTCATATGGCTCCAGGGTTTTAATAAAGGCATTCATTATATAATTCAGCCATATTTATAACTTTAGAAACTATAATCATTGGCTTCTGGTTACGACTGTACGCGAGTAGTTCTGGCAGAAGAGGGACATCTGACCCGACATATGACATAGGATGTAAAAGTAGTGTAAGATTAGGTAAGTAAGAGTAGACTCTACTATCACATAAGCTCTACTTGGGCTTCAAAAACAAGGTACCATTCACTCCCATTTTAAAGCTTGGAAGAGAGGTGACTCCCATTATAAAACTTGGAAGAGCCAGGATTTTTTTTTTATATAACTCAGATTGTGTGAAGGTGGCTTGATGGCAAGTAGTAAATATGGGTTAATTTTCATTTTTGGGTGAACTAACCCTTTAACGATTATCAGACAGTGTACTGGGACAAAAAAAAATTTGTTCTTCTGGCAGGGATGGGCAATGTCAGTCACTGAGTGCTAACACTGGTTTTTGCTATTCTTGAAAATATTGAAATTTCTCATTTCTTAACTAATAAAAATGGGGTGGCCTAAATAAGTGATAGCATGGTAAAAACATGGTAACATTCAAAACTTTAAAACTTTTGTGTATTTAGGCTACTCTGAGAAGTTACTGATTCAATATGGTTTTATTTTAGAAATATTAAGTTATGACTGTTTTATAAGCTTACGTTCTACCAGGTCAAAGCCGACCCTGGAATACAAAAGATACAGTTTTTAATGCGACCTCACTTTGCCTGAGTCACTTCAATTTCATTTTAGACAAACGATGTAGTGAAGGCGAATCGTGACTGGGACTGTCATTCTGACAAACATCTATTTTCCGTCGCAATGAAGAAATCCACGCAGGTTTGCAACAACATGAAGATGAGTACATGATTTTGAATAAAATTACACAGAAAACGACGAGTAAACTTCTTAAACTTTTAACTTTCTTAAATGTTCGGTTGTACTGCCCCTTTAAAGCAGTAACTTACTGCCCCCGCCCCCTCAACTTCCTCCCGTATGTTTGGTTTAAGAAGTACTTCCGGTCAGTCCCACACTGTAGGACGAGAGAATGTTCTTAGCTGGATCAGCATTAATTCTCAGCGTATCGTTTATGTTACAATGTTTAATTGTGAGACGAATGAGAGTGAAATAAACGATAGTTAGCCTAAACAGTAGCTAGCACAAGAACAGTCATCGCTAGCATTTGGACTACAAATTTGACAAAACTACAAGAAGGTTCAATAAAAACAGTGAAACGGTAGCACACCTACGATAAGTCTAATGAAAAGCTGGAGGATAAATTGTTGGTTTGTTTATAATCACCGGAAGTAGCTAGATAGGGTTTTCCCATCCAAATACTCGTCATTATGTCCGAAGCCATACACTCGTTTCAGTCACAGCTATCCGGGGTCATGGAGACCGTTTTCAAAGCTGCCATGTTTGAGATCACCCGGCTCGTGGAGGACAGTTTCGTGAAGGAAGTGTCCCGCAGTCGAGAGCAGGTGGAGACTCTCAAGAAGAGGCTGCAGTGGAGCGAGTGCAGAAGGAAAAACCAGGAGATGCGCGCCCTGAGGTGTGCAGAGTGTGGTGACAAAGCTCGTGTGTGTAACAGTGAAAGAGAAGAATTGTTACCACAATCAGGTTGGTTCACTCAATTCAACTCAAAATCCGTGTTGTTACTATTTGTAATTTCTACAAAAAGGAAATGTAAAGATTTTATAATCTGTTGGAATATCATATACACTTAGTATTTAGAACAGAACAGGAATTTATTGTGAAGTGTTTATGAATCATCCATGTTGACATACTGAACACTTAACCCAGGTTAAACATAAATCTGGGTGCGATAGTTAAGGTGGTGGTCAAAGGGACCCTAATTGGATTCAGTACAATTGACCAAAAATCACACGATGACAAAACAACATCAGGTAAAAACAGCAAACCTTTTAAATCTGAATTTAGCAACTTTTTTTTTAAATCCAAAAGCTCAATATTATAAACAGCATTGTAACTATTTATTTAATTTTTCCAAAAATGTTTTTCAACATTTTTAACAGAATAAGTAGAGCAGTAAAGCATGGTGCTAGCAACGCCAAGATCATGGGTTCGATTCACATTGAACAGAAGAACATGCATGAACTGATAAAAGTGTACACCTTTAATGCAGAGGAAGTTTCTTAAATATACATCATGCATACATGTAAATACCGTTAGAGGGTAGATGAGAAACTGACCTGTCAAAATATGTCGGGTCTGTGCAGCTGCCTTTAATTGAAAACATCATAATAGTAATATACATTTTGTACGCACATTCCAAAACACATCAGTGTTGACACTTTGCAGGCATGTTCCTAAGACTAAATGAATAACATCTTCAAGGAAAATTGGTTAACCATTGGTTTTCTCTCAACTCAAAGATCCAAGTTGTCAAATTGACCTGCAGCATAATATAGAGGATTAGTGTATAGACCCTCATGTCATTCCAGACCATATGACATTTTTCTTCCGTCCCATTAAAGACCATTAAAGGACTGTGTAATCAATGCCCTCACAGTTGCTTTCACCCTTGATGACCACATGTAGAAAATGAACGCAGCCTCAAACAGGAGAGAGTTCCGGTTGGGAACTGGGGAAGCTGTGAGTTGGAGACTGACACACATTTGGGTGACAAAGAGAGATTAGAAGATCAAACCAGACCCAGTAACACAACAGAGGTGAGTACCCGAATGGATAAACCACTTTACTGATGACCTCTAACCTTGATAAGTTGCTTGTACAGCAGTGTTTCACCATGGCTGTGTCTGAGACCAGAAAATTCACTCTATTATTTAGTAAGTGCATGTTATTGATTTTATTGTGAACAATAAACCTGTGCATGTAACATAAAAAAAAAATGACTTTGTAATTCTTAATTACTAACTTGATCTTCCTGTGAAACGACAGACTTCTCTCTGGTGACGTATGCTGGACTTCTCCAATAATTTAGTCCCTTACAGTCGACTACAAGCTTTCATTCAGATCATCAACTGATGACCCGACCGCATCGTTCATTTATTTCACTCCGATGTACATCACAACATGGAAGAAAAGATCTGTCGCTACTTCTGTTTCACCACAACTTTAACATCCTGTGCATGTTCTCTCTTTGTGTTCTCTGTAGTCTGCTGGTACAGAGGACAGGAAACTGGACTGCGTGTTGAAAGAGGAGGCCCTCTATGCCACTGCTGATAATAAGGAGCTTCAGGATGGGTGGACACTAAATACTGAAGGTGTGATTTAAAGAGAGAAATTCTGTCATCTCTTATGTCGTTCCAAACCTGTAAGACTTTCGTTCATCTTCGGAACACAAATGAAGATAATTTTAATCAAGTCTGAGAGATTTCTGTCCCTTCTTTGAAAGTCTGTTCACTCAAAACTCTTGACGGTTCATAAAGAGATCATAAAATAAATGCATATGATTCGAGCAGTTTAACCCAAGTCTTCTGAAGAAACATGATCGCTTAATATGACGAACAGATTTAATTCAGGCTTTTATTCACATATAACATACATAGAGCACTCAAATTTGGTAAATGGAAGCTCAAGCATGTTTGCTTGACGCGTGAGTACCAGTGAGGTTCATTCTCGTGTGCTACACCAGCACATTTGACTTTTCACAAGAACCAACGAGGTTGGTTGTACGCTTGAGCTTCTGTTTACTATATTTGAGTGCTTTGTGTACACTTGTTGATCAATGTTTCTATGCAAATAAAAGCCTAAATTAAATCTGTTTGTCATATAAATTGATCATGTTTCTTCACAAGACTTGGATTAAACCACTCGATTCATTTGGATTTATTTCACGATCTCTTTATTTTTATATTTTCTAGTAGTTTTTGAACTGTCGAATTTTGGGTGAATAGACTTTAAATGGAGGGACAGAAATCTCTCAGATTTCATTAAAAACATCTTCATTTGTGTTATGAAGATAAACAAAAGTCTAATGGGTTTGGAACGACATAAGAGTGAGTAATTGATGACAGAATTTAAATTTTTGGGTGAACTATCCCTTTAAACATCTGATTACTGCAAACCTCTGACATCAGACTGTGTTTGACGATTACAATGTTTTTTATTTTTCTTTCAATGTTTGCTTTTCCAGGAGCTGAGAGGATGGATTTCTCAGCTCATAGTTACAGTGAGCAAGAGCTGCAACAGATTCAGGAAGACTGGAGCTCCGGACTTGAACAGACCGCTGACAGTGAGACTTACGCAAACATCGTAGACGTTCAGGGCTTGCCATACCGAACACATTACAATGCAGAAGAGCTAGCGAGCTACAGTGTACATGAACTGGACATGGGAAACCTGGACAGTCTTGGAGGAAAAACTCAAGACACATTAGGTCATGCAGTTGCAGTTGGGACTGATCAAAAAGACCTGGTTGAGGAAGGTGGGAGACGTTACAGCTCTTCCATTAGGAGTAAAAGAGGAAACAGAGCATCTTTACCTGCACAAGTCAACCCCGAGACAGAAGACGTGGATAGAGACTGTATACTTATTAATGCAGATGGCCACATACAAGACACAAGTGCCCTCACGGAAGTTCACAGTGGGATTGAAGATGGTGCTGGACATAGAGGACACTCACTTTACACTGGGGACACAGCTAGTAGTGCACTTTATAAGGGACATGCATCGAATCACTCTCTCAAGTCTAATGTTGGACAAGCATTAGGTGACAGCAGGGCTTCTGGGAAAGGCTACCCGGTCTCCCAACGAGTCGTTTCAAGTGCTGGATATACTTGTAACCAGTGCGGTAAGAAGTTCACTCAGGCCTGCAACCTAAAAGTCCACCAGCGTGTCCACCAGCGGGACGGTCTCCATTTGTGCAGCCACTGTGGGAAAGGCTACTCGTCCTTCAGTGACCTGCGTAGACACAAATGCAGCCAGAGCGGAGACAAACCCTACACCTGCACGCTTTGTGGGAACAAATTCAGCCGACTATGGAATCTCAAGCTGCATCAACGCATTCACACGCAGGAGAAACCACACAAGTGCACTCTGTGCAGTAAGAGCTTTACCCGGGCCGACATCTTGAAAGTCCACCAACGTACCCATACAGGAGAAAGACCGTACTGCTGTGGTATCTGTGGACTGAGCTTCAAACGAATGGACCATCTCAGGTCACATCATCGCAAACATAGTGCTGACCCGAATAATCAATGACGAAAAAATTCACCTCACAACCTTACAGAGTTGGTTTGACTTTTAAATTGTTGGAAGCCACTTGTTTCCCATAAAACGTTACACTGTTACTGTAGAACCTCCCGTTGTAGTCATTATGTTTTCTGTATAATTTAATTTTGTTTTTGTAAAGGCAGGCGGACACTGCGAGTTTGGACACCCTGGAGGTCGTACGTCATTGCACACATTATGAGTCAGTTAACCTGATAATGGCGTAAAAACAGCTGGTACACGGCACGACTGTACCGCACGGCGAGCTGGCGGGAATCACATGAGCATTGGAGACTGGAGCTTTCAATGTTGCTGCTGTTGCTTCGTATTGAAAAAGGAAAGAGAATACAAAGGGAAGTGTTCAAATGATTTTGTGAAAAGCAGAGAAAACAACACAGCCATTCCTCTCAACACAAAAAACTAGAGAGTATTCGTGTGTGTCAGTGTATGCACACACTGAAGGGTTGCAGCCACTGGGCTATAATAATATTCATAGATCTATTCTATCTGACGTGGTTGTGTATGACTTGGCTATAGGGGACACTGGTCAACTGGACTCACTGGACCAGTGAAATTTTTCCCAAACTTTTAAACCAGTTTGAAAGTTATTGGGACACGGCTTGGCTTGTAATTCCTCTCACAATGCGAGCCGCGACCATACAAGCATCAACGATTTCCACACGATATCTACAGAGAGAAAAAAAATGCCTGCAAGCTAGTACGACAGCAAAAAACGCACCATGTGCGCCCAGCTTTAAAGGGATACTCCACCCAAAAATGAAAATTCTGTCATCATTTACTCACCCTCAAGTTGTTGCAAACCTGTATTAGTTTCTTTCTTCTGCTGAACACAAAGGAAGATATTTTGAAGAACGATTGGAACCAAACAGTTGTTTGGCACCATTGACTTCCATAGTAGAAAAAAATAAAATTACTATGGAAGTCAATGGTGCCAAAGTTCCAATCGTTTTTCAAAATATCTTCCTTTGTGTTCAGCAGAAGAAAGAAACTCATACAGGTTTGCAACAACTTGAGGGTGAGTAAATGATGACAGAATTTTAATTTTTGGGTGGAGTATCCCTTTAAAGGGATGGTTCACCTAAAAATTCATCATTTACTCGCCCTTATGTCATTTAAAACCTGTAAGACTTTTTCTGTGAAACATAAAAAAATATAGATTTTGAGGGGTTTTTTTGTCTGTATAATCTGTTTGGTTTCCAGCATTCTGCAAAATATCTTATTTTGTGTTTAGCAGAAGAAATAAAGTCATGCAGTTTCGAGGGTGAGTAAACGATGACAGAATATCATTTTTTCGATTAGACTATGCCTTTAAGTAACATTGTGGTTAATGTGGCCATCTTTGCATCTGATGTAAATATTGTATTTTCTATGCAGTGGTAAGACATTGTCACTTTCATGATCTTTAGAATCTTATTGTCTATAACGCTTATTTTGAAAATGTAGGTGGAGTGATTTCAGTTTATTAATGTTTATTTAAAACTTACCTAATATAGTTTCAAATACACAATGTATGTCACATGCAATATCAGTCTTTTTTTTCGGCTCTCTGCTTCAGCATTACACCTTCAAATATCATTTTAAACATTAATTTGTTTGTCAGGTGATTTAGCTGTTTATTCTAAACTCTTTGATAAAAATTATGAAACATATTCTTGGCTCTTCAGAACCCATGTAAGGAATAATTGACAACAGTCTATTGAATTATGGAATAAAATATAGATAAGTAATGCACATATGAGATGTTAATATTGCCACGATGTGAAGAGGAACTGTAATGGCCTGGAACTACTTCATATAGCTGTGCATTTACTAAAAAAATAATTGCGCGCCTTGCTTAAAATCTCTATCACCCAATCAGAATCAAGCATTTAACGGCCCCTCTGGTACAAAACATTAAAACAGTTAAATATATCTGCATATAATGTAACTTCTTGTTATGATACTAGGATCTAACTAAAACATTTAAGAATATTAAAATAATAATACTGTAAAGGTTAGCTGTACCTGAAGTCTTATATTTTACATAGTATATGTCCTATGAAACTGCACAATTTTAGCTCATGTATATTTCGAAATGGGATATTTGCCATTGATGTAATTTATTTTAGTCCAATTTTAGCCCAACAAGGCCACCGTACAATATGTGACGTCACTAACAACAACATTATTGTCCGTTTTCTCAGCGGCGCTTCCTCCTGACATGCTGAATGAAGCATTAGTCAAACATCTTGTAGTTCATACATTAACTAAATAAATGATGTAAAATGTACTACAGTCAGCTGGACATGATGCGACGCCTTCCGCCTTGCGCCTAAAGGATATTTATTTCGGTTCGCGGTTCATAGTCTCAATCAGATGTAATGAGCTCGATGCTAACAGTGCGAGGTTTTTATATTCGGGATTTTATGATGATTGCCTGGCCGTGAAAGTGTGAAGTGCAACATTTACTGTGAATTTTGAAACTGAGTTTCCCAAAATGCTGATGTGTGGACTTAAGAAATAAAACATTTGAGATAGAAATCAGCATGGGTGGTCATTAATGTTATGATCACTGTTGTGTCTATGCATTCAGCAATCAATTCTTCTCTATAAGAACAAGCTCGAGTAGATCAGATACAGGATGACGGGCACGCTGGTCATCTCCTTCCAGACTCGGCTGTCTGCGGTCATGGAAACTATTCTCAAGACCACCATGTACGAGATCACCAGGTTAGTGGAGGAGAGCTTCTTGGAGCAGATGGATCGAGGCAAACGAGAGGCGGAGGTGTTAAAACGAAGGCTGATCGTGTCGGAGGCCAAGCTGAGAGAACGGGAGAGGTTTAAGAGGGTGAGGTGTGTGGACTGTGGGCGGACAGCAGTGTCCAGGAGGAGGGTCCTACACAGAGGCCCCGAAACACAGAGCAGTGAGTAGAAACATTTGACTTCCCAAAGGACTTTCACCAGTTATGTAGTGCTTGTGCTTACGCGAGTCAATGATACATAAGAATGGCGTGTATTTTGGGATTTGTTTCATCATTTGTATGAAATGTTTATGCCATTTTTAATAATAATAATTTAATTAACTTACAAATGTCAAATGACTTTAAAGTACAAAAGTAATTTCCTCCAGTTTACAGACCTATTTCATGGTATTATATTTCTTATATTTGATATATTTACATACTTTTAAGGCATTAGGTGGCACCCTGATTGAGAACCACTGATCAAGGGGTGTTTCGTGATTTTCCTGTCACATGATTACAAAATGGCTTCCTTGTTTTTATTTATTTTTTATTAACATTTAGCAAGTAACAACAATTAACATTCATTCCATTAACATAATATAAATCTTAATGACATTTGAAATTAACAATGAGTAGAACAATTGACTTTGTACAAGGGACTTAGAGTATTGACATTGAAACAGAAAATACATAAAATTATTAAATAAGCAAACAAAATAAAAGAAATAAAAAGAAAGGCAAAAAAATAAATTTGCATCACTTTCGTTTTGACTCAAGTAGGGGGATAGAAAGATCTCATTGAAACATATTATCTCTGTTCACATGTGACTTTATAATCGTATTCAATATCTGGGATGTTTTAATTTTTAATTTTTTTATTTTTAAATTTACATAGGGAATCAGCGAGATTTTTTTAATTCAGAGCAAAATACAATCAAATTTGGTTTCGAAGCTGTAAATTTAGATTTGTGGATATGACCTTTTCCAAGCATGTACAGGATTTTCACTGCGTTATCTAAAATAACTGAACCAGCGTTAGAAAGCAAAAATAAGACAGTTTCTTCTGTAATATCAAAAAGGATGTAAAAATCAAAACTGAAATCACTGTCCATAATGAGACTGTGAAGGGACATCTTAAAAAAAAATGAAGCACAGATTCATTTTCAGATCCACAAAAAGAACATTCTGGTTGAATATCCATAAACTTACAGGGGTAAAAATTGTGAAGCATTTTAATATGAATTTCTTTAACCTTATTTGGTATCACAAAGTTATTATGAGCAGACCATATGTTACACAAAGATAAGGAAGGATACATCTGTTTGCATAAAGCCATTGCTTTAGGAGCAATACTGCTCATAGAGATTCATTTTTTTCTTATATGAATATTATTGCATTTTTTATTTAACAAATCAACTCCACCTATCATTAAACAGGGAGTTTCTTCCTTTAATTGAGAGTAATGTAATGATGATTTAATGGGATGTAGAAGCTTAGGTGATATACCATTAATTATCCTCAAACTCTATTCGAGTAACATTAATATTGTTTTCCTTAATTAATTTTTCAAAACTAATCAGATTTTCTGCAGGTCTGCATTTTGAAATAAATGAATTTAGAAAATTTTCTTTAGTATATCTGCATACATTGACATCATAATGAGGGTCTAAAATGGTCCTCTTGTCATTTTCGTGGTTTTCACATGACAACAAAGTGGTTTCCTGAGTGTTGGTTATGCTACACTTTCATTTAGTGGACATGTTTTTCAAATATAAAAAGAAAATGACAAAACGGTAATAAAAGAGACTGTCAGCATCTATTTTTTGTGCCATTTATTATTTAACATGAACTATGAATGAACAATACTTCTACGGCATTTATTAATCTTAGTTAATTTCAACATTTACGTACACATTATTGAAATCAAAAGTTGTATTTGTTTACATTAATTAATGCACTGTGAACTAACATGAACAAACAATGAATGACTGCATTTTTATTATCTAACATTAACAAAGATTAATAAATACTTTAATAGATGTATTGCTCATTGTTAGTTAATGTTAGTTAATACAATAACTAATATTTACAAATGAAACCTTATTGTAAAGTGCTACCATTTCTTTCAAGAATTTCAGCAGTTAAAAAAAAGAATGAAATTCATTTTTATTTTTATCAAATATATTTTATTTTTAACAATGTCACAATATTTCAGTATTTATGAAATGATTTATCCTTGCTCATAAAAAAAATGTTTTGTGTGTGTGTGTGTTTTTTTCAAGGTTTGGACAATCCAATTGTTAAGCAGGAAAATGCTTCTGACAGTAGCTGGAGTTGCAGTCCCAAGGGAAGTGCAAATCAGGAGAAGCCTTCAGCAACTCTGGAAACTAAACATAATGTGTGTATGCCATTGTTTTAATGGTAATATGTAGTGGCAGAGAAGACAAAAAGTATCTGGACAGTAGGTTGCCAAAGGGCATCTGAGTGAACTTGAGGGGAACTGATATCTTACACTGGTGGTACAAAGTTTGGAATAATTATGTTTTTTTTATGTTTTTGATTTTCTTTTTTTAAAGAAGTTTCTTCTGCTCACCAAGGCTGAATTTGTTTAATCACAAATACAGTAAAACAGTAAAGTTGTGAAATATTATTACATTTTAAAATAACTGTTTTCTATTTTAAAATGTAATTTATTCCTGAATTTTCAGCGCCGTTACTCTATTTATACTCTATTCATGTCACAGGATCCTTCAGAAATCATTCTAATATGCTGATTTGGTGCATATTCAAGAAACTATTATATTATTATTATTATCAATGTTGAGAGAAAAAAGAGAGAAATGAATACTCCTCAAAGATGCATTAAATTGATCAAAAGTGACAGTGAAGACATTTATAGTGTTACAAAAGCTTTAAATGCTTTGATAAATTGAATAAATGCAAATAAATGGTGTTTATTTAAACTTTCTATCCAACAAAGAATCCTCAAAAAAGTATAATATTTCCACAAATGTAATGCAGCACAACTGTTTTTCAACATTGATAATAATAAGAAATGTTTCTTAAAGACCAAATCAGCATATTAGAATGATTTCTAGGATCATGTGACACATGTGACTAATGAGTAATGATGATGAAAATTCATCACAGGATTAAATGACATTTGATTAAAATAGAAATAAAGCTATTATAAATTGTAATAACATATTAACATTTCACACTATTACTGTTTTTGCTGTATTTGTCATCATATAAATGCAGCCTTGCTGAGCATAATTCAATAAAATCTTATTTATTCCAAACTTTTGACCACCAGTGTACGTTCTCTAAAAAAATGTAATGAACTGAGAAAGGCATTTGTTTGCACATGCCATTTTTTTTTGTAATGCAATACAATTCACAGATTTTAAGTGTCCAAATACTGCAGTTTTCTAAGATGGTTACTATAGTTTTTGAGCGGTTTCTAATTCATGTGCACTTTGTCCATGACAGGCTGTTCAAGTGGGTGAGGATAATCCTGGAGGAGAAGTGAAAGAGGAAACAACAGAGCCTAGAGACACGCAAGCTTATCTAGTAATACACTCTCAAATACACAAACAAAAAGATCCTCAGAGCCGTGTGGAAGAGACCAATGGACTCCGCAATACAGATTCTGACCACAAACCAGGTGGACCGTCCTGCACCGAAAGACCGGGGGATGAGGATGAGGTCAGACACAGAACCCCCCCAAAATGGTTTGACTCTAAAACTGACCCTTCAGCACGGTCATCTGTTTCACAGCCAGACCCAGTCAGGACCTCCGTATCTTCAGAGTCTCCGGGTTTGAGACCCCAAGTAAGCAGCATCGACTCAGGCTCTGTTAAACAGGAAGTTATAGTGATGCTTCCACCAGACTGGGAGGAAATGGAGAGAATCGGGCCTCAGATGGTTTCTGCTCACAACAGTGCTAAGAAGACGCCGTTGGACCTTCAGCCTGGAGATCCTCTCACCGTTAGACCTCAAGTACAAGAGCGAGTCTCTTATCCCGCGCCTCCCGTCAAGGTTCACAGCCTTGCACCACAAGCCATGCAGCACCTCAGATCACCCGTTAGGAAAAACACGAAAATTGTTTTACATCCCAACGCGGTTGTGTCAGATCACAGCGCCAGTGATGTTAACCGAGCACAATCCATCTCCAAAGGCCTTCCTACTCCAAAACCCTCTCACGTCCGTCAGTATCCTGAAGGAGCCGCTACAGGGGAAAGAGGTTTCAGTACCGTGCATCCAGGAAGAAGTCTGCCGCAGATGGTCAGTGTGAGGGTTCAAGGGGACACGCGCCACCATTCGGCAAGGACAACGCACAATTGCAACCAGTGTGGGAAAGGCTTCTCTCATCTGTGTCACCTCAGAGCTCACCAACAGATTCACTCAGGAGACAGGCAGTTCTGCTGTACCATCTGTGGACGGAGTTTCACCAAACTGAGTAACCTGAAAGCCCACCGCAGGGTTCACACTGGCGAGAGACCTTACATCTGCTCAGACTGTGGGAAAAGGTTTACCCAGAAATGCAACTTGAAGAGACATCAGAGAATTCACTCTGAACCCTCACAGTCCAGTATATGACGAGCCGTGGAGCTGTAATAGTGCTAGAATCTGTGTTGCATTTCACATATTAGTTGATGCTGTTTCGCTAACTGGCTTAAATTATTTTTAATATCATGCGTCGTATTGAAAGCTGTACTACATCTAACTTTTCAAACATTGTTCTGAAAAATTTATTTTGCAGTGATGTGACTGGATCACTCAGGGGAAAATGCAGATTGTATCATATTCTATAAAAAGCAGAGGACTTTTCCACTCCCTCTTGATGTTACAGACTATTGAAGTAGGTGAGTTTGTCTCACAAATAAATGTCCAACTGTTTCACCCTAAGATCAAAAGAACATTTATGCAATTATATTTTCCTTAAAGACCTGAAAAATTATTCATTATTTTTTATTTCAGTATAAATTAAATTCAACAAAATACAACCATGGAATATACTTAGAATGGTACACATGTACATTAATATTTCAATTAGGTATGTATATACACAACCGTTCAGAAGATTGGGTAAGAATTGGGTCAGTAAGATATATTTTTTAAAGAGATTAATACCTTTTTTCAGCATGGATTCTTTAAATTGATCGAAAGTGACAGTAAAGACATTTATAATGTTTTTCTGTTTCATAGGTTTAATTTCTGTTTTATATTCAAAGAATAAAAAAGATTATCATGGTTTCCACAGAAATATTAAGCAGCACAACTATATTCAACATTGACAATAATAATAATGTTTCTTGAGCTGCAAATCAGCATAGAATGATTTCTGAAGAATCATGTGACACTGGAGTAATGATGCTGAAAAATCATCTGTGTCGTCACAGGAATAAATCCCATTTTAATATATATTAATAGAGCGTAAGAGACTTAACTTTTTTTCTTTTTTTTTTTATCTTGCCGACCCAAACTTTTGAATTGTAGGCTTGGGAGATATGTACTTAACTCTTTAAATAAAGGCAATGCAAATCAGTCAATAAATGCAAAAAGTATGATTTTTCTTTATTCTTTTTTTCTTTTGATTTTGGGGTGAAATATGACCCGGGCTGTTTCATCCATGCTTTAGAAATTTTCTCTGTTTGTTTAAAGTGTTTAATTAATTTCAAATTGGAGTTTTACAAGCCTAGAATAAGATGAATTAAACAACTACTCAATGTTAAATCATATCCCTTTGATTTGTTTGTATATTCAGATGTGTAGCATTAGCTCTTTCAAATGGTGCATATACTCATTATTGCAACAGCATTACTGTGTTTTTTACAAGATAGCCAGTAAACTTTGCTGAACTTGATGTGCATATGCTGCTGTGGGTTACATGTTCACATTTAGATGTCAATGCCGATGTTTTAGGTTCAAACCTATGCAGGGGTTTTCAGATTAATATTTTAAAATGTAGTGACGTGATATGGCTGCAGTATTCTTTAAAGTGTAAACAAAGAGTGACAGTATAGCTGGAACATGCACATACCATCCCATCTGTTTTTAGTTTAATATCTTTTGCTGATTAAATGCCACACACTGTGTTAAATTACACACTGATTAAACTCTTCCAGTAATGCATGCAAACAGACAATTGGTGATCCAGGTAAACCACAGTAAGCCATGTACATTACAACTCAATGACTGTAATTCAAATGATTTTTTTCTTTTTTTTCTGTGAAAATGACACATCTAAATAATGTTACATTTGAAATGGACCAAATGGCTAAACTGCAGGAAGTTCATGTCTCTATTTTAGTCATATATATGTTGTTTTGTAATGTTTGTCAACAAAATTAAATAGTTATCCAGCTCTTTGGTAGAGTACTAACATACAGTATGTACATGTGGTGTTCTCATTTTTTTACACTTATTTTTTTTATTATAACTGACACATTTTCCCATCCTAATGCACTTAAAGTAATAATCTGTGATTACAGCACATGACAAAACTTTAGGCCTGTGTAGGGCAAAGATGTGGCACTTTTTACTGTTTCTAAAAAAATTAAACGGAAGGAAATATTTTTATAAAATAACTATTTCTGGCAGAGAGTTATGGGAAATGTAGTTTGTGAAGGAATGACAATAGTCTGATGTGGTGGCTCTCAAAGGCACTCCAGCTGGTGACCGTTACAGGTACAAAACCTGGTGACTTTTGTGGCGCTTGCTATATGAACAACAAAAAGAAAAGAAAAATCATGGAGATGATTAGACAAGTCTAAACCGTCTTTACAAAAATAGTCACACTTGTGATAAAAAATTACCACCATAGGAAATCAATGGGAAATTCAAAAACAAACATACAATCTACAAATTATCCTTGACGAAATAGTCTTTCATCATAAGGGGTGTAACAATACAAAACTGCATCAATATGTATTGTGTATAATTCACCCAAAATGAATATTTCTGTGTGAGGAAAAATTCAAGTTTACAGAGTTTTAGTGTCCGTACTGCATTAAACTACTATACACAATGTTGAATATAATGTATAATAATGCAATGGGGGAATATTTGTGGGTCCTGATAATGCCAAATGTCTTTTGTTACCAGTAAAAAGTGTCCGACATTATTTTAAATGTATCTAGCCAGTGACAGAGTTTAAGCATGTTTGTCTAAATTATTCTGTATTTTCAACTTCAGAATCATCAATATTTTTATTCTGATGTCACCATTAAATTTAGCATTTTAATCAACAGTACATTTTTTGTTAACCTTTTACCATATGTCTTGAAGTATCGCAATAATATGGTATTGTGAGTTCAGTATCGTAATATGTATCGAATCGTGACGAGGGTATCGATACACCCCTATTGTACGTAATTATGTCTGAAAATATAAATATACAATGAACTAAATTATAAACGCAACACTTGTTTTTGCCCCCATATTTCATGAGCTGAACTCAAAGATCTAAGACTTTTTCTATGTATACAAAAGGCCTATTTCTCTCAAATATTGTTCACAAATCTGTCTAAATCTGTGTTAGTGAGCACTTCTCCTTTGCCGAGATAATCCATCCACCTCACAGGTGTGGCATATCAAGATGCTGATTAGACAGCATGATTATTGCACAGGTGTGCCTTAGGCTGGCCACAATAAAAGGCCACTCTAAAATGTGCAGTTTTACTGTATTGGGGGGTCCGGGGGAGACAATCAATGGCTGTGCGAAGTTGCTGGATATTGGTAGGACCTGGAACACGCTGTCGTATACGCCGATCCAGAGCATCCCAAACACATTCATTCATGCTGTCTGCAGGAATGTCCACCAGAGCTGTTGCCCGTGAATTGAATGTTAATTTTTCTACCATAAGCCGTCTCCAAAGGCGTTTCAGAGAATTTGGCAGTACATCCAACCGGCCTCACAACCGCAGACCACGTGTAAACACACCAGCCCAGGACCTCCACATACAGCATCTTCACCTCCAAGATCATCTGAGAATTTCTGCACAAACTGTCAGAAACCGTCTCAGGGAAGCTCATCTGCATGCTCGTCGTCCTCATCGGGGTCTCGACCTCACTGTACAGGGCAGATGGCAGACAGCGTGTATGGCGTCGTGTGGGTGAGCGGTTTGCTGATGTCAACGTTGTGGATCGAGTGGCCAATGGTGGCGGTGGGGTTATGGTATGGGCAGGCGTATGTTATGGACAACGAACACAGGTGCATTTTATTGATGGTGGATACCGTGACGAGATCCTGAGGCCCATTGTTGTGCCATTCATCCACGACCATCACCTCATGTTGCAGCATGATAATGCACGGCCCCATGTTGGAGGATCTGTACACAATTCCTGGAAGCTGAAAACATCCCAGTTCTTGCATGGCCAGCATACTCACCGGACATGTCACCCATTGAGCATGTTTGGGGTGCTCTGGATCGGCGTATACGACAGCGTGTTCCAGGTCCTGCCAATATCCAGCAACTTCGCACAGCCATTGATTGTCTCCCCCGGACCCCCCAATACAGTAAAACTGCACATTTTAGAGTGGCCTTTTATTGTGGCCAGCCTAAGGCACACCTGTGCAATAATCATGCTGTCTAATCAGCATCTTGATATGCCACACCTGTGAGGTGGATGGATTATCTCGGCAAAGGAGAAGTGCTCACTAACACAGATTTAGACAGATTTGTGAACAATATTTGAGAGAAATAGGCCTTTTAGAAAAAGTCTTAGATCTTTGAGTTCAGCTCGTGAAAAATGGGGGCAAAAACAAAAGTGATGCGTTTATCATTTTGTTCAGTGTATAAGGCTACACAAGCATCTAGTGATTGGCATCTGTGATTTTCTTTATTTCTTCCACCGGGTGGCATCAATCTGCCTTCTAAGCTTTGGATTTTAAATACCTTTGCTCTATTTTTAACCTTAAACTCTGTATTAATTGAAAACAATATGAAATATTTGTTCTAATGTTTCTATATTTTTTTATATGGAAATGGTGCAAAATCTAGAGGTGCATAATGTCTATGATACATGATACAAAGTACTAAAGAAAAAGTATTATAAAAAATATATTTAGTACATTAATTTTATTTTAAAACAAACGTTACACGTTGTTTTTGGTCAGTTTATAATTTCCAATAAATACTGCAATATTCCATAAAAATAAGAACAGTCAATTTTGGTGACTTTAATTACAGTAGACTAAAATAGAATAATGGCTTTTCATTGATTAATGAAGAGCCATTTAGGTAGCTAATCATAAAATAATAATAATAAAATATAATAATTTGCCCCTAGTTTCACAGACAAAAGTCCTAGACTAAAATTCATGTTTGAGCTGTTTTAACTCAAAGCAACTTGTCTTGCACTGACCTCTTACATGCCAAAAGATCAAGGCAAATTTGGTTTCTCGTGTCATCACCCCTTTAAAATATGTCAGTGCCATTGTTTTGTCTCAAGATGCACACCCGTATCGTGTTTTTCTAAGGTACGTTTATAAAAGCTCATGTCCTAATTGAACTAAGGCCTAATTCTGGCTTAATCCAAGCCCTGTCTGTGAAATCGGGCCATAAAATTTTACACAAAAATAAATGTGGTTCCCTCAGTACACATGTAGCATAGGATGAGTGGCATCTTCCAGTCCACTGGAGGGCAGTAACAGAAAACCTTCAACATTTTCTGCATCCGCTCAAGACGACTGTCAACTAAACGGTGATATTACTGCTGTAATAACGTATCTATTCACGTTATTTCGCGGTTTCCTCTGAGAAATCCGCTGTGCGAGGATCGTTTTTATAAGGTATTTACCTCCTGAATAGCGTGACTGTTATTATTTGCCTTTGTCCAGTTCATTTCTTTTACTTTTTACACAAAAGGCCCGAAGAGAGGGTGACTAGCGAGCTTATTTTATATAGAAAACCAAGTGAATATAAGCATATACAAATATACACGAATTTCTAATAACATAGTATTGGTATTATTGCCTTAATAATGTGATTGTATGCTGTATCATGCACGTGGCTGCACAAACAACAATAACAAATCGCCCACCTGGTGACAGAAACGGGAGAGGAAAAAAAAATGTTTTTGTTTTCGAACACGCAAACATGTTTTTTTAGCTGGTCATGATTGCAGTTATAACACATTTTTATAAGTCTTTATGCCTTTTCAGGGTGATTATTTTCATTGCATCAAGGCGACAGCAGGACGATGTCGGAGGCCCTTTTCCTCACATTCCAGTCTCAGCTCTCCGTTGTCATGGAGACCGTCCTCAAATCAGCCATGTTTGAAATAACTAGGCTGGTGGAAGACAGCTTCCTCGAGGAAGTGGGTCATCGTAAACAAGAGGTGGAAGTATTGAAACGAAGGCTACAGTTGTCTGAGAGTAAACTGAGGGAGAGGGAGAGGGAATGGGAACGGGGGAGGAAGATACGGTGCTCTGACTGCGGCCGAACAGGAGATTCCAGCAGCAGAGATGAGAGCCAGCCTGTAGAGACAGTCCGGGGTGAGTTAAGTTACAACTAGTGTTGTGGTTGTTAATTCAAAACTATTACAAATCCACTCATGCTCCATACATTTGCCATACTGCTTATCCTCTGTATGGTCGTGGGGAGGGCCGGAGACCATCTCGGGCTGAAGGCAAACAATTAAAAACCGTTTTTATTGATAGAAATAAAATAAGTTGAAGTAATAAAATTACTATTTATTCTCTAAAATTAAAATTGGTTAAAGTGAAATAAAAAAAAATTAAAAGCAAAAACAAGTAACAAAATTACTAAAACTAAAATATAAAGAAAGCAAATTCAGAATAAATACTAATAGTTTATAAATAATACTGAAATATCGCTGGTTACAACATATCTAAAACTTGACCAAATTGCACACGCACACTTAAATATATTAACACACGTCACCCACATACACATTCATATACATGTGTACATATAAATATTTAATAAATAATTCATATATATAACAGTGTGTACTGTAGTACTTTTTTCCATTTTCACCAGCAGGAGATAATAGGTGATTTTTAACACTTTTGTATTTGACATGATCACAGGATGTTTAAAGCTGCAGTCCGTAGCTTTTTTTGGGAGGAGAAAGAAGGAGTCTCGGCTAGTAGGCTGTATTGCGTGTGAGGATGTTGGAGGTGGAGATTTATAGCCTTTTCTCACAGCACTTGATATAATTAAACTTATCAATTTGATGGCGGATCCAGAAAGGTTCAAACGACAATCACCAGTGACAACAGATTCACCCACTGTAAAATGCAAAAGACTTCGTTCGGACTTCGGAGCGGCTACAAAAAAAAAGAGACTGCAACCGGACCCATGCGAAAACAAGGATACATATCGGAAGGACATTACATGTAGTCACGCAATGCTGACGTTGTTAACATTAACAATTTGAGAACAAAGTATAATTTGCGCGGTTTTGCGTGATATGATAAGCGATTGTTAGATTTAATCAGCGCGATTTACTGCAATGTCAGAACCAGAACAAAAGTAGATGTTACTTACTTGTTCAGATGACATTTTCCGGTGAAAATTATTATGTTGAATGGTCATACTTCCAAAAAGAATAATCTGTGATTCTGAATGACAGTATCCACACCGGCGCGGTGACTGACAGCTGCACACTCTCCTCAAACATTGTGTTCATCCGCGCTGTGCCGTGTCGAACTACAACTCACGTAAAGTTGATAATTCCGCCAATAACTGCAATTGCAGATTTCGAACAGAGATGGCGACAAAGAGGAAAAACTGCGGACTGCAGCTTTAAGAGAAGATTTTCGTCCTGAGTTACAAAATACTTTCTTTACACACAGGATGACAGTTCTGTCTTGCAAAAAAAAAAAAACAGTATTCTTTAATTGATTAGGAATTAATAATTGTTAAGAAAATCAGATGTCATTATATCTTCTTCATATTATCAAATACTTTTTGTGCTGTTCTTTAATTTTGTATCTGTTCTTCTGGTGCAGGAGCAAATGCCCTTTGTTTAGGCCTAAGCCTGAGAGATCAGTCTACCAATCAGCCTACGTTGACAGAAGAAATGTGGAGTACAAGACAACGCCTTGAGTCTAACAAACAAACAACAACAACAAATTCACACTCTAAAGAGAAGAACGATGTACACCGGCATAGTGCAAAAGAGATCATCACACCTAACTCCAGTGCACCAATTCCTCAGGATTTTCTGCAGAGGCTTCTGGGAAATTCAGCAATCCAGAGCGAGTCCACTAGTGTCTTCAAAGCCAAAGGGAATGATTTAGACCAATCCGAAAAGGACTTTACACTTGATAAGGAAATGGACTCAAACCACTCAAGAGTGATACAAAGCCCTTCGGCTCAGGATGCTTATGAGGATTTGCCATCGTCTTCACCAAACGATAGAGTAAAATCAGAGACAGAGCTGGATCTTCTATCTGTCAAGGAAGAGGAAGAGATGGTTCCAGTGTGGGATAGCGTCAACAGAGATGACGGTTGCCATGCAGAAATGTCTGATCCGAGTCAGGGAGAGCTCAGAGGATCTTGTGATCAGGAGGAGATACAGGTAGAAAGCTTTCCAGGTCTAAACTCTCTCGACATGCCAGACGCCACCTCATATTTCACACCTTATTCAGTGAACACATTGGCACATCAAGGTATTAGGGCACAATATAATCATTTATGCACGACAGAGCTGATGCTATCTAGCGTACCAGAGAGGTCAAATTCATTTGTCAAACCAGAAAATGAACAGAGTTATCCTGGTTCAGAAAGTTCTGTCCGCTATTCCCACAATGATGTTTGTCCAGGCGAGAAAACAGTCAGTCACGCGCAATACCCAAAGTGTTTCTCCCAGGACAAACATGGGACGCCCGAACAGATCCATGAGGGAAGACCCCACCATTGCCTCCAATGTGGGAAAATGTTTGCGAGAGCATGTGACCTCAAGGCTCATGCGCAGACCCACAAGGGCAAGAAACCTCTGAGCTGTTCAATGTGTGAGCAGACGTTTGCGTACAACTTCGAGCTCAAGGTTCACCAGCGAAACCACTCGGGAGAGCGACCTCACGTCTGTCCGCACTGCGGCAAGGCCTTCGCTCGGATGAGCAACTTCAGGCAGCATCAGAACATCCACACGCGGGAGAAACTCTTCAGCTGCACTCAATGCGGGATGCGATTCAATCGAGCCACCAACCTGCGAGTTCACATCAGACGACACAGCCACGCTGGGAAGTCTTGCAATTGCCCTTATTGTGGAAAGAGCTATCTGAATCCCAGGCAAATGAAGACTCATTTATTGAAAGCCCATGGGAGAGGAGGGAAATAAGTGTATCTAATTTTCACTCGTTTTTTGATCGATTCATGTTTACATACTATAAATGGTCTGCACTGTTAGAACTCAAGAAGACCTCAAAGGACCCGCCGTCCCATCATTGCCACCTTAAAGACAACTGAACAGGACCTGGACAGATTGTTATGCATGGAATCATTTTAACTTTGCATTACAGAAAGACAAGGAAACTTAGGTTTCCTTATAGATCTAAATACATTTTACAATACAGATTTACTCCCAAAGGAATTGTGCTGTTGTGCGATTAATGTGTAATAGCTGGTATAGAATATGTATTTGATGTTTTTATGTATTCCCTCCAACAACAGTAAAGATGCAGCATATCCTCTCTCCTAAGAATGTTTGTGGATCTTTTTAACTTAAGAATTTATAATTTCACTAAAAAGATACCCCGGCCTTCACTTAAATTGTGTTATGTCCCTGTCGTTTCAACTTCGTTTCATGGCATTTTGTTGGAAAAAGTAAATGAACCATCAGATGTAGCGACTGGTAACACGTCTATCTCACCTCAGCAAGTCGGTCAGTCCAAAAATGCTCCATTTCCTTTACTTTAGTCTTCTATTCAGACTTCAAGTCTTCTTTACAGTGTTTTCTATTTTGTATTTATTTGCTGTGGATTTGATGAACACTGATGTTGGACAATGCAAGACTTCCTCCTCCTTAGCCATTTCCACAAGAGTTCTGTGATCTCCTGCAGCATTGTGTCTTGATGCCTGCCTCTCCTGGAGTGATTGTAATCGGACAACCATTAACCCCTACACACAGGTCATTATCTGATGGATTTGTATACTTTTTCCCAACAAAATCAGTCAATTATTCTAGCAAGACTTGTTCAGAATATTTAATTTGTTATTTGATACTTTTTATTGTTCCTTCTGACTTCAGGCAGACTTTCAGCACTCCATATGAAATATAATTTCAAATGAAATTTGTGTTGCAGACTTCACTTCATGTCTATTATGATAAACAAGCACACTACATACAGAACATAAACAGAATCAACTAATGTTAACTATATTTATGAGCAGAATATTGTATAGAAATGCTTCTAAATGCATCCAAACTGTGGTTTGCTAATTTGTTGTTGTGTATGTTTTAGATTGGCCGAAGGTTTGCAGAACACCCTTCCACAGAACAAGGAAATTCCCTCCCCGTAAACAGGCAAAGGACATTCAGCGTAAGAAATTATACAGAATGAATTTGAAATAATTTTTAGGCTTTTGAACGCTCATCAATTGACCAAGTTTATTTGTTTTTTGTGTCTTCAACAGCTTGTGGCCAGGGAGATCCTGACTCAGTTTCAGGTGTGGCAGAAGGCTTGCTATAGCAGGAACATAGATTGGGGCCCGATTACAGCGAAGGTTCAGTTCTCTTCATTTGTTCGATTTCGATTAATGAAATGTATGCAGAAAAGGGCATGTTTTTGAGAGTGATTATACATCTTTGTTGTTTACACTTGAACAGATCATATCTGCACTGCCGCAGTTGTATGGGCGGGAGGCAGAGGTGATTGTAAGATGTACTAAGATGCTACACAACCGCAGGGATTACCTTCGAAGGAGGGCAAAGGTTAGACAGAGTTCATAGGTTTAAAGATTTAATCTCATCATTTCACAACCTTATTGCTTGTATGATGATAAATCATACATATTAAGTCATCATGTATATGGCACATAATTGTGTGAATGAAGGCAATTTTCCATAGGGCTTCACAATTTGATCTGCTGTATGATAAACAAATAACATTATATTGCTTATCATGGATGAAAGCAAATTATTTTAACATTTGTCAACTAAAATTTTTTTTTTTTTTTTAAATGTACATGATATGTTTAACATAACACATGTAGATAAAATAATATGAATAATTATTTCAAATGTATTTGCATAGGTGTTCTGAAAATCCACTAGCGCAGGATGATCTATCCAGACAATATTTTAAGTTGTTTATGCTTGTCTGCACTGACAGTGCACAATGTAATTTAATCGATTGAATGGACAATATATATTGAAAAACAAAAACAAATTGTGCCACATCCTGCACAATGTTAAATGTGAAGGCTATAAAAAACGCTGATAATGAATTTGTATTGAATTTATTAAATATATTATGTTCACAAAAACGTTTTATAATATAAAATTATTATAAGACAGAAAAGTTTCACTGGAACAAGCACATTGACTCCTCTGATCTTGTTAACACTTTCACAAATGTCTTTTAAATCTAAGAGGCATCCTACATAATTTACACCACAACAGCTTTAGTTAAAGGTGCTGTGTGTGTATATATATATAATTTTTTTTTTTACTGTACTAAAGCATACAAATTTTTGTAGATATTTAGGAAACATGCTAAGTTAACATACTTGTTTCTCTGAAAAACAGCTACAGCCAGTTATTCTACTTTAAGAGTGTCAGACTGTCTGTTTTTGTTATGGTTTGTGTGATCACTGCCAATTTACCCAATAGAGGGAATGCATTGATGTCACGTGTCCCACGTGAACACGCCCCCTCAGCTGGACTGAGTGGCAAAAGAGCTGCTGCGTGACTGGATTTAATAGGGGAAACTGCGGAAACGAGAGTAAAACAAACGATGTTTGGACTCGATATAAGTGTTCCTTACAATTTAGGCCTACCAAAGATCCAGTGATCCATATTGACACGCAACCATTGTGTTTCCTGACATTTGTGTGCCTGATTTCGACGCCGGGGAAATACGTGAAGCAAATTTGCCTGTGAACGCTTTATATAAATACAATATAGGTAGGTCTAAATCCAGGTGATCACTCATATCAATGTTATATATAGGCTATAATCATATCGTCCAGCCCTAAAACTTGTAGCCTATAGTTTTTTTTTTGTCATGACAACGCATGTGGTCATGTAAACACGGGAAACCCGTTTTCTTTTACACTGGTAGTTTTTTGCCTCTTACTCGGATTTCGCATTATGTAAACGCATTAACCTGCTTTCTGCTTTTTTTTCTCATCTCGTGCAGCAGAAGTAGAAGTGGTTCAGTCAAAACGCTGCATCTGTAACTGCATGACATGAGAGAATATACGAGCTGTAAGTTTCCCGCTGACATGTTGCAAGCTTTATTTAACATCAACCGACAAAACAAATGAAGTCAGATACGCAAATGATTGTTTTGTCGTCACACGGTCATGGCCTGATTTATTAATAAAGTCATGTAAACACGGTTTACTTGTGTTGTCATGGTTACTGGTTTGCATGTAAACGGGAAACTGGTTATTTCAATAAGCTGATATATGTGAGTTATCATCTTACTGGTGTGCATGTAAACGTGCTCAATGATAACTGCAAATCCACTTTTCTCTGGAGTCAAGTTGATTCTATGAATTGCATCGATCCATTTGCTTCTCTGTTCTGTAGCTTTTGGCAGTCTGTAAAAATATACCTCAGATTTCTTGTGAAATGTAGTTGTACAGTCAATCGCAAAGCTCTTTCCCATTTTAGATGTGTTTTTTGTGTTTTTCACGGCATTCACGCTGAAAACCAATGCTGCCGCTCAGTCTTTTTGCCACTCGAGTGGGCGTGACCGCAATCACTCCAGCTGACGGTGACGTCATACGCATTCCCTCTATAATATTTTGACACCCTGGGTCGCCAGTGGGCGGACAACGAAGCAGCCATTGACGCAAGCAAACGAACTGGGTCAGAGATCGCAAATTCTACATTAAATAAAAAGTATTGCCATTTATCTAAAAAGCTCTATAAGGCATATTTAAACGCATATACATTAGCTGATCAAAAGCTCTTCGCCTTCCATTGTAAATTGCACTTGCTCCTGTTGTGTGTCTTCAATCTGGCAACCCGCGTGAACGTTGAGCCTGAGGAGGAGGGTGCGGGGCAAATAACTCCAGTACCCATTTCAACCACTATCTGTCAATATTACATACTGCACCTTTAAATATTGTCAACATAATTATCACTGCCTGACTGTTAGAGAGGGTTTTCAGTCTCTGCAGACTGTAGCACAATGACGTAGTTCATATAATCCACTACATAGTGAATTTGGTTGACATATAGTCAAGGTTTTTAAGCAAATGCGCCATAGAGGATTTCGATGATACACTGGATGTCTTTAATGTGCATCATTTGTCACTATACTCCATGACAAGGATGGACTCAACACCAAGAAGTGAGACCGTAAGTGAAATTAGCATAATTTATGTTGTCATTATGTTGTCAATTAATTTTGTTGACACTTGCATTTTACATTAGCCCTTTTGAAACGGAATCATTATTTTCCTATCATCACGCTGGGTTCTCGTGACCCTTATACTGCGCATGTAAGAATAATTATAATAATTCATTTTAATAGGTTGTCAAGGGCAACTTTAGTGACAAAGTCAAGTGTCAAGCTCAAGCTGTAATCGTGATTATAACAAATTGTTAATATTCACCAAAAAAAATGTTGAATGAAGTTAACCATTATTTCATTGTAAATATCCATTTCTAGGTGCATATTACCATCCTTAAAAAAGGAGAAATGCCCTGCATCTCTAAGTGCACTCGGTGTTGTGACGAGTATCACTGCCCATTTTGTGAGACCTGGGTCTACAAGCCAAGAGGGTTAGGGAGCGTTGTTAACCACGTCCAGAATCATCTGAAGTTGGCTGTCCAGCTTCATGGTGTGTATAGTGCTTCCACATCCATTCAAATGATTCTGTCAAGGCATATCAATTCACACTTGTTTTACTTTTTTCAGATTTCACTATTATCAAGTGTAACTTGAAATGCAGGGAAAATGCACATTTTCATTGCTGCTACTGCTCTGCCACCATTCTGCGGAAAGCACAATTACAGATTCATCTCTCAAACTGCATCCAGAAGTTAAATGCTGAGGAGGAATTTGAAGAAAACTGCTCACTTGATGGAAGTCCTAAACATGAGTAGTTTTTTTTTGTTATTTTTGTATTCTTTTATTTCAGTTTTTTTCACTAGTTCATAGATTGTTTCTCAAGTTATTGTTTCCCTGTTGGTTACAGGTTATTCGGAATTGTGGAATTTGATGGATGAAGCTCTATGGAAATAAACATTTTTAAAAAAAGTATCTGGTGGTTCTTTCAGAACTGTGAAGTGCTGTGTAAGATCTGAAACATCTATTTTTACTACACTTATTTTTTTATTTCACCACTAGTGAGACAAAATAATTATTATAAAGCTTAGCTTTTGACATGGTTATATCCATGGATTTCTTCAATAAACTGATAATACAATATATTGACGAGCATGGTCTTGTGGAGATAAAATTCTAAACATTGCATATTAAACATTTTATATAAACACTGAACACATGAAAGTTCTGACAAACTTGAATTTAAAAACAGCTTGACATAACATTACTTGACTGGTTGCTTATGTAACAGCTTTATAAACTTGAAAAAGTGTGCACATGCATATTAAAAGTGTTGCCAAAATCCATGATGTAGTGGGTTATATTTACAAGTAACTATATGTCATCATGCTAAAGACTGCAGCAAGAAGAGTTTTTGGGTTAACAGGGTCAGTTCAATAGTTTGGGATCGGTAAGATTTGTATTTTTGTTATTTTAAAGGAATTTTTAATTTAGGAACTTTTATTCAGCTTGGATGCATTAAATTGATCAGTACAGACATTATCATTATATATTTCTATATCGAATACGTGCTGTTTTAGTTTTTTTTTTTTTTAGCTTTCTATTCATCCAAGAATCTTGAAAAAACTTTTTCACAAAAAATTAAGCAGCAAAATGTTTTCAACCTTGATAATAATAATCCTCCTTCAGCACCCACTCAGCATATTAGAATGATTTCTGAATGATCATGTTTTATGAATGATTTCTGAATGTGCATATTAGAATGATTTCTGAATGATCATGTGTTTTCTGAATGATTTCTGAATGATCATGTGACACTGAAAACTGGAGTAATGGCTGCTGAAAATTCAGCTTTGTCATTTTATGAAAATAGAAAGAAAGCCATTTTAAATTTTACTAATATTTCACAGTATTAGTTACTGTTTATACTGCAAAATGCAGCCTCGGTGAAAACATTAAAATTGCTTTCAACATTACTTTAAAAAACATTTAAAAAATCTTACCAAACCCAAACTTTTGAACATTAGTGTACATTCAATAAAGACAGACAGTATATTTGTTGCTAAGAACTGCATCAGCTCTTTTATTTCATTAGTCATTTAAATAGGCAAATGGTGCTTGATTACACTTCAAGTCAACAGGGCCATTGGGTCTTTTAACACCCACTGTGAAATGCGGCCTGACTTGCTCTTATTCTTGCATATGTATATGAAACATACAACTGAAAATCTGCTAGAGTGAAACTACTTTTGTCTGTTGACCAAACAGACTCTTCACACATTCCTGTAAAGCAGACATAACGGAGCGATGCATTTTCTGTTTTATAATCACAGCTGTTTGTGGTGTAATACAAAGCCATTATTACAAGCTTTACAATGCCCAGTTGCAAATGTTACATTTGAAAATAAAATGATGTGAAACAGTATTTTAAGATGTTCTCTTTTTCTTTTGCTACAGGAAACTGCTGTGGAAAGAAATCTTTTACCTATGGGTCAGAGATATCTTGTACAACTTCAAAGAGGTGATGTTCAAAATGTACAATTTTGAATAAAATATAGTTATGTGTGACATTGTGCTCTGTTGTTTTTGTGTGCAGTTTGATATGTTTTCTTTAACAAAGGGATACAGTCGTCAGACAGGATTTTGTAACATTCATGGAAACTCGTGTTTGGGAAAGGACTGCACATATGAGACAGGATTGAAGAGCGATGATTGAGGAGAATTGTTAAAAAAATAGATGGGGTGAATTAAAATTTTATTTGGTCATGATGATTATTCCGTTAAATCCCGAAGTTCACTGATAAACACGAAACACCCAATGAAACATGACTCGCTCGACTCAACAATATAATTGCATAGAAATGTTTTTTTTTTTTTTTTTTTACACAAGTTTACCTATTTTCCTACGTACTCAAATGGGTTGCTTTATTGATTCTATTTTTGTCTACATTAACCAAAAGGTTTGTTTCGACACATGCCACATATAATAAAGGTAAAAATGAATTTGTCCGGGATTTTGTGGAATCAGCTCCCATCGATGTTTGTTTCCCGTCGGCCCGTTATGCGGTTACGCTTCACATTCCACGCAGCGACTGTGGGAGTCAGAGGGTCTGTCTCGGGCAAAATCTTGGATTTTTATCAAAGGTAAGTTGCTCTCTTATGGAGCATTGAGAATATACATGTTTTACTTGTGGTTTTCGTTTCCAGAATTTGCATGATTACATGATTCCCGCTTCATACTGTTGATGAGGTGAAGAGAGCATGCAGCTTTTCTTGTAACGGTGAAAGTTATTAATGAAAAGATCGTCACCACTTTATCTTGGTTAGCTTACAGAGAGCGTGAGATATTTGACCCGAATGAATCTTTTTCTTAGGTAACTTTTTGAGAGAAATCAGTTTTTCTCGTCATTAGCTTGCTTGCTTTAGCAGACCTGTCCCTTTAAACGCGAGAAATGCCCCAGTCCACGTTTTTCCCCCCACATTACAGGTCATGTCCAACTGAAACCATCAAATTATTACATAGGCACTCTGCAATAAGAAGTAAAGAAACAGAAGCATCTAAACGCGATACAAAAACTTATTTTGTCGCTAAATCTCTGTAAATATTTTAAACTATATGTGATTTATTAAATATATACTTTTTATGTCCTCACCCTCATGTCGTTCCAAGCTTGTAGGGCTTGCTTTTTTCTGCATAACACAAAAGATATTTTGAAGAATGTTGGGTAACCAAAGAGTTTCGTGTGGACTATCCCTTTAACATTAAGTTTACCTCTAAACACTACTTATAATAGAATATTTTGAGTAATAGCTGGTATTTTTTATGGTATATGTTATGAAAGCTCTGAATTCATACACACTTTGACATACAAAATGGCATATTGTGCAAAAAATGGTTTGTTTGATGCTTCCAAGATTGTCAAAATGAAGGCAGCCAGATAATATTAAATAACACTAAAATCAGTAGAGGTCACACAGGAACATTTAGTATCTGTTACTGGCATAAACAACTTCTATATCTGTATATATCTCCTCTGTTGAAAGGTAACCTGAACCTGGACAGCTGTTTCTCAACTTTACTCTGTATAGTTGCACAATAGAAGGGTTTTGGGAAGCTGGCAGTAAGTCTGCCCTCTCTGTGTAAGAAATCCACCACCAGCCAGCCACACACAATGGAAGTGGAAGATCCCTTATCAGCCAAGTTCAGGACTCTGATAGAAGGACTCATGGTGACGACAACCTCAGAGATAGTCAAAATATTTAGCAAAGTGCGCTGGAGACCAGAGTGGAGATCACCCGGAGCTGGAGGGAGATCGACTTGTTGAAACAGCATTTGGAGGAATGTGAGCAGCAAAAGACAGACGCCATCTTCAGGGCTCAGAGGGGTGACTTTAAAAGAGAAGATGACGAGATGGAAGTGTCACGTGAGAATCATTTGAATCATTTAGGCTCCTTTGATAATAAACATTACAGTTTTATTCTGTTACAGGGACCTGAAGAAAGAGCAGATAATGTCTCAGTTGGGAAGAGAGGTGTCAGTCTGGGGAATGCTAAAGCCAGTGGACCAAAGACAATCAAACCAGGTACTCATTTTTAAGTTAATGAACTTGAACTTTTTGCAGCAATAAACAAATTACAGAAAAGTTCCACTACAAAATACAAATGAATACTATATAAAAAAGTGAAAATAAAGAACTGTACAGCGTTCTGTAAGGTTTCTTTTCTCAAGTTTGTTCTTAAAAATATCACTAGTCACTAAGATGAGTTAAAGTGAAAACATTTTGTGGTGATCTTTATTAGTATTTTAAACAGGAAAAAAATGTCATTCAAGATTCTCATTTTTATGAACCGCTAGTCTATGCTGTTTTCAGTTTATGACTGATCAAAGCTTTGTAGCGTCTCTCATCCAACAAAGAGATAAAGCCCTGTTTCCACCTGGTATTAAGATGTGTTTTCAGTGATCTGATTATAAGTGGTCAGCCAAAGACGCATTACCGTTTACACCTGGTGCTAACATGCGTTTCAAATGTGTCTCCTGTGACCACTTGCGTTCTGATTTCGTCAAGACCCTCACCTCTTATTTCGTGACACTCTAGCCTACATCACTTTTAGCGCAAAAAAAAAAGCATACTATTAAATGAACGAACCCGTGTTGTGGCTTAAGCGGCTTAGGCGAACGAATAATATAATATCATTAATTTATTTTTATTTTTATGGAGTCGTGAGCGCTACCTCCCGGAAATGAGTGCAGGGGGGATGTCTGCGTATTGTTATATTTACCTCAGAAAAGCCATTCAATGACCATAGGCTCATTAGTCAACTAGAAAATGAACTCTAGAGAGAAGCATTTTGCTAAATATGTGAATAATGAAAATTAAAAAAAAAATTGTATTGTTCTTCAAAAAAGTTTTTATGACGGCCACCATTTAAATGTTTATATTTCAAAAAACTAATTAGATTAGAAACATAATCATGTAATTATAACGTTACTATAAAAACTGAATAAAATTTACTAAACTCCCTTGTGTGTAATTCAATTGTGTACAAATCAGTTAAAGATTATAGTAGTGTACCAACTGACTCCCTGTATAGTTTACAGTTGTTTTTTTTTCCTTGAATAACTTTGCCATGTACTGTACTGTACCTGATATGAATTGATATAGAATGTAATCAATATCGGGATAGAATTGAAAATCAAAATCAAATCGTGAAATTTGTGTCAATACCCAGCCCTAATTTTTAAAGCATTTTTTCAATTAAGTTTTGATTAACATAATCTGGCGTATAAAACAGTGTTGGTATTGTTAACTCAAACTAATACAAAAATATATTTTTTGTTAATTGAAATAAAATATAGATAATATATATTTTTTAAAAACGTAGAAATGTTGCGTTGGCATTGGCAACCAATTGAAAATTTAAGTTGAAGCACTAAAAGTACTAAAACTGAAATAAAAATAAATTTAAATATATAAACAAAACTAATCAAATTTTAGCAATTCTAATTATTGCTTTTTTTGTTGTTGTAGCTTCATCAGGCCATAAGGTTCAGAAAAGCTGTGCAACTGCTGAAACGTTGCAAGAGACTAAATGCAAACAGCTTGTGGTAAAACCGAAAACAGTTTGTCCCACCAAGGTGTCACAAGCGAAGGGAGAGAAAGCATCATCAAGCAAGACAACATCACAGCCCACATCGGAAAAATTCAAAAAAAGAAAAATAATCAAAAAGCAGAATCACGCAAATGAAATTAGTGTTGGTCGTGGTCTTCGAGACCGACAGCACCTCAGCATGCAGAGACAATGTCTGTGTTGTTCATCGGATGAGTGCGATAACCCCTCTAGAGCCCAGCACCTGGTCCCTAGTGTGTATATCTGTCGTAAATGTGAGAGAAGATTTAAAACGGACCTCCTGTTCAAGAGTCACAAATGCTCAATGCCTCAGAATTGCAACAGGTGTGGGCAGACGTTCACTACCCTTCAGGGGCTGACCGCACACAGTCAGGAAGTTCAACCGCAGTTCAGATGCAGTCAGTGTGAGCAAATGTTTGCCACTCAGTGTGCTTGGACCGTGCACAAGAGGATCCACACCAACCTTATTGTTCCCAATGAAATTAAGGCTAAGAGGTTCGAGATTCGTCTCGAAAGAATCTCAGACTCCCAGCTGGAGGCTGCTTTGTCCTCAAATAGCTCTCCCTTGCGAAATACCTCTTCAAAACAGAATCTTTTGAGTGAACCGAATCCGGCTTCTGCAGGCACAACACCTGGATCTGCATGCAAACGCGGTGCAGGATCCACGACGGCGAACGTACCCGAGACCAGCACGTCACAACTATCACCCCAAAGTGTCGCAGAAACCCCAGATTTAAGACCAGGAAACATGTCGGATTCAGGTGTTGGACAGTCAAGTGTCAGGAAAGTATATGCCGTCATGTCATCTGCCTCTTGCCAAATTCAGATTAGTGAAGATGCAAATGAATTGGAGTCAGCAACTGCACATGACACTGAAAAAGTAACAGATGACGGAAAAAATCCCAGTGCAAGTGATGAGTCCGGACTCTGTACTCCGCCGCGAAAGCGGAAAATGGCAGGTAATATTACAAAATAGAACATGTTGATTGAACGACATACAAAACTTGAGTGGATTCACTGTTTTATTAGTATTCTCGTGCAGATTTATGTGTTAATTAAATTCTCATTGCTGATGTTTTTTTCTGTAGATTGTTCTCATGATGCATACAATGGCGTGTTTCCTGTTGAAAATATTCTGAGATGGAGAAACAATAAGGTAGGAATAAAGTGCTTTTATGCATCATCCCATGAGCCCTTAAATCATTTTGTAAAGAAAAATGTCATCATGCTTTAATCTGACATCCATTTAATTTTTAAAGGGAAGAAATGAAGTTCGGGTCAAGTGGATGCCTTGCACATTGTGGTAAGTCTTCCTCATCTGATATCACACCACCAGTAGCATTCAGCTTAACCTAGTTCTGTTCATGAAAGTGTAAGTAAAATTGTCACTGGAGTTGATAATGATATATAGGTAACACGTCCTAACAATGAGGCTGCATTAGTGAACTTTAGTTAACTACATTAGTGAAAGTGGTGTGATGTGTAGCCAAGTATGGTGCTCTGCATTTCCCCCTTCCAAGTACACAGTGAGTAGTGAATACACACCATGAACACACACCCGGAGCACTTGGCAGCCATTTTTGTTGCGTCGCCAGGGAGCGATTGTGGGTTAGGTGCCTTGCTCAAGGGCATCTCAGTTTCAGGCTCATTATGCCACAACTGCCCCAAAGTTAACATAACATGGACATAACATTAGTTAACATGGACTAAGAATGAACTTTAGGTAATGTTAACTTCAACAACATTTACTAATACATTATTAAAATATATAGTTTTATTTGTTAACATTAGTTAATGTACTGTGAACTAACATGAACAAACAATGAACAACTGTATTTTTATTAACTTACTTTGTTAATGTTAGTTATAGCATTAAAGGGACAGTTTACCCAACAATGAAAATTACACCATGATTTACTCATCGTCAAGCCATCCTAGGTGTATATGGCTTTCGTATTTCAGACGAACACAATCGGAGATGTATCATAAAATGTCATGGCTCTTCCAAGCTTTATAATGGTGGTGAAAGGAGGACGAGATTTTTGAAGCCCAAATAAAGTGCATTAATCCATCATAAAAGTAATCCATACGGCTCCGGGGGGGTTAATAAGGCCTTAAAGACAAACTCATTTACTTTTCCATTATAATGACCCCTTTAATTTAGACACTTTTGTGTGGTGGCAGCTCCCAAAGCTAAACTCAGTTAATTATTTAAAATAAATTAATTTGGATTGCAGACGGGTTTAAACTTTTTTTTATTTTATTTTTTTAAATCCCTGAAATTTAATTTATTTACTTTTCTCAGTGGGGCAAAGTTTCAGAACACGTGGGAACCAGCTGAAAGCTTTCCAGGCTATTTGGATGACAAGAATGAAGAGCCAAAGAAAGACTAGAAGGATCAGAAATGATGTAAATCGTTCAGTATGCTTTTATGAAGTTCTCTGTTTACACTAAGCATGTGTGCTTTACAATGCAGTTAATTTAATGAATGTTTTCTCTCCATGCCATGTTTTTCCTGCAATATACTATGGTTGTAACCAGTTCCACACAGTTACCCTAGATAAATGAGTAGTGAAGTTAAATAGGTAACATTACATTTAATACATGGTCTTAAGTGCCTGAGATCAAAATCTTTGCTGTATAACTTGTCATATTGTATAATTATTTAGTTAGACTTCAGATGTATTTGAGTGTTGAATGTTTATATTTACCTCTCTGCAATCCATGGTTAAGATTGGTTCCTTTTGTTAGGTGTTGCGAGTGTTTTAGATGTTTGTGGTGAGCCTTTTATTGATGGATTCTTTTTATACCCAGCAGTCAGATTTTAAAATGCTATTAATTGACTAAAATAGTTGTGGATTCGTGTCTTTAACACTAAATATCAGTTTATTAGGTTGGATTCTTTAACACTAAATGTCAGTTTATTAGGCCTATCCAGTTAATGAGGAATGCCTCTACCTGCTTTGGACTTCTTGATATACTAAAGAATTATAATGTGGCCATTTGTTTGGTTTTTGAAACAGTTGTTGCAGGCTGGCAAAATAAAGTGGTAGATGTATTGAAACACCCACTAAATTGAATAAACCATTTTTAAACCTGCAAGGCTCTGTAATTTCACCCATCCATGACATGCCACTATTTTCTGTCAGATTTCTCTATCTATATGTTTCTGTGCTCTGGACGAAAAAAAAATTGTCATAGAAGAGGAGATATGTTTATAGTAACAATAGTAAAAACTAACATTCATAAACGGGAAAAGCTGCCAAGCAGAATCAGCATTGTAAATATATACATGAACTGACTTCAAAAAGCAATGCTAAAATACGGTGCTAAAATGTTGATCGATAATGTTTTCGAATTTTTTTCTGTTTGTCCCTATTTCTGAACATATATGTAGGTAGGTTGTGGCTTTCACACCTATGAAACTCTTAAAATGTTTGTGTGAGTAAACCTATTTCCTTTGGCCAAACAACTTCCTGCTGCAAGAGAGTGTTGCAATGCGTATCGATTCTGATCTCAGAACAGGCGTTGGTGTCTGAATTGTCGGAAATAACCTTCAGTGAACAGGCGGAACTGATCCCATTACAGCAGCTAGCAGTGAACTGACTGAAAGTGAGAAGGAAAACAGAGAAATGTGTCATTTCACCTGAATCGCAAGTAAAAGAGGATCTTAACACTGACTAAATAAGTAATTAACTGTTTTTTGTTTAACTAAAGAAGTAAATGACTGCTTTCTGCTTAACAAAAATTATTTCTTCAATTGCCTTCTTTAAAAGCTAAATAATTTTTAGTAGGAAATCAACTATTTTCCTTTAACTGTATTTAAGAGACTATACCAATAACAACACTGATGGAAACATAAAAAAACCCTCGGACACTTGGAGTGGGCAGAGAACGGTTTTACTTCCTTTGACTGGAAATCTTGCGGTCTTTCAGAAATCAAGCAAACCCTTGACTGACAACAATGGTGTTATCATGCTTAATAACAGGTACGATTTTTAATTAAATGTCTTTATAAAAAAAACTGATTTAAAATAAACTTCATAAAATAAGTGCTATCACGCAATTTCAGTGTATCTGTTACAGGGAAAGAGGCTTTTTGATTATACTTTTTTTGGTTACACAAAAGTTTTGTGTGCATTATACATATGTTTTTAGTATAACTTAGTCAATGGTTTTTAGTTAAAACAGCTCAGTTATATTAAGAAGATTCCAATATATCCAAGTCTGTGATTTTGAGTAAATGGAAAAGTCCTGTTAGTGCCTGACAATTTATGTTTTAGAAAGACTTTCTGTAGTTAACACAGTGCAAGGGAGTAACTTGTTTCTACTCTGGCACAGGCAGTATATTGCTGATAAAATGAAGCAATGTACAATATGGTCTTTATACCCACAACCAAACCATAAGCTCTTCTCTTCAGCACTGTGGAAACCCCAAAAACGTCAACATAAAAGAAACCATTTTAAATGTCAAACATAACTGAACATTAAACATTAAAAACACATAAAATAACACAATTTCAACATTTACTCTCTGAAAATGTTGAGAACTAACAATTCATTTCAGTTTATGCAAAAAAACAAAACAAAAACATTAATGTAGTCCCAACACAAATGGATTAAGTAATCATCAATTTTACATTGAGTGGACAAAATGTATAGCAACAATTGTGTTGCTTCATGATTATCTTTTCTTTCTGTCAGTTCTCATAATTCTCCCCCTAAACCGTTTGGAAGCAGTACAATTGAAAGAAGTTAACCTTGGAGACACAGTGGTATTAAAGTGTAACATCTCTTTCTACAATGACATCCACTGGCTGAAGATGAGTGAGGGGCGGCCAATGGCTCTGATGGTCACAAGTCTAAAACATAATGGAGAACTGTCTGTTGTCTGGAACTATAATGAAAGTCGTTTTGAAGGTTTTATGGAGGAGCAGATCACTGGACTAAGAATTTCCCAAATCTCCACTAGCGACCTTTCCACATACCACTGTGCGACATTATATCAAAAACACTTGGCTTTTGACAAAGGAGTGCAACTATACAGTAAGCGAGTGCATTGGATTTCTTGAGATAATTATTAGTGTGCTTTTTCCTGCTCACCTTTTATATGTTGTTTTTAGCAAACCAACAAAGAAAAGAAAAACCCTTTGATCATGTAAAAGGTAAGAGAAAAAGTGCTGCTTTTCTATATATTTGGAAACACTCACTTGTACATAAAATTGATTTTGTGAGCAAAATTCTTTCCCAACCCTCAAGATAAGCTCTTGTTTATTACTTATTCACTTTATCCCCCCCCCCCCCCCCCCCAAAAAAAAAAACAGATTTGTCCGGAGGTCTTAATGGGCTCTCTCTGCATTACCAAGTATTTGCAGCAGTGTTGTGTTCTGGCCTACTGGGAATGCTACTGGCGGTTTCTGTGGTGCATGTGAAGACCAGAACAAAAAAAAATCTACAACATTGAAAAATAATTCCATAGCCATTTACCCCATCAACCCCCCATTGATTTGGGGAGTACAAATCAATTTACTTGGAATTTTTTAAATAAACAAAATCTACTATGTTGTAATCTTGTAAAACTATCTTTGTCTGCTTTCACTTGCGATCTTAATGTCCAGGTTGGCCTCAATTCTTAATAAATCAACAACAAAAAAAGGATGTAAGATATTTGGTCTTTATGTCTTCCTTATAACAGTATCATGCATGTGGTGTTTTTTAATTGAATGATAGCAGTCAGTGTAAGGACCATATTATTTTAGATCAGTGCTTATCAAACTGTTTCTTTTTCAGCTGATACTAGGCTGTCAATTAATACTTCACAAAAGTGGTTTATTCAGTGTAGAAAAGCCTCTCCATAAATCCATAAAAAAGGCCTCAAAGGGGGTTTGAGTTAAAGGGATAGTTCGCCCAAAAGTTTAAATTAGCCCATGATTTGCTCACCCTCAAGCCAAGGTGTATATGACTTTCTTCTTTCAGACGGATACAATCAGAGTTATATAAAAAAATGTCCTGGCTCTTCCAAGCTTTATTATGGGAGTCAATGGCTGTTTCTGTTTTAAAGTCAATAAAAGTACATCAATCCATCATAAACGTTCTCCACACGGCTTCGGGGGTTAATAAAGGCCTTCTGAAGCGAAACGAAGCGTTCATGTAGGAAAATTGTCATATTTAAAACTTGATCAACTAAAATAACTTCCAACAGATGGCCGTACGCATCGATTTAAGGCGAAAAAGTAACCCTTGACCTTGAGGCACAATGCATTGATGAACACGGAAGCACAGAGGATAGAGCAAAACAATACACCAGTCACGAATTAGAAGTCTAAAATGAGAATTTTTAAAGAGAAATGTCAGAGGAGCTTGAGTTTGTTGGCCAGCCCTGTTTGTTAGAATCGTGAGTGGCTTCAAAGCTTACGCTACTCCTACGTCATACATCGTCAAGTGTTATTCTTTTGGCGCAAGTCGACTTGTGTACGGCCGTCTGCCGGAAGCTAGTTATTTTAGTCGATAAAGTTTTAAATGTGTATATTTTTCTCACACGAACGCATTGCTTCAATTCAGAAGGCCTTTATTAACCCCCCAGAGCCGTGTGGATTACTTGTATCATGGATAGATGTTTCAAAACAGAAACAGTCATTCACTGCCATTATAAAGCTTGGAAGAGCCAGGACATTTTTTAAAGAGCCAGGACATTTTTTTCATATAACTCTGATTGTATTCGTCTGAAAGAAGAAAGTCATATACACCTAGGATGGCTTGAGGGTGAGTAAATCATGGGGGAATTTTCATTTTTGGGTGAACTATCCCTTTAACTTCAGTGTAGGGTGCTTCTCAATCTGAAGGCTGCATATCTTGGCTACCTGCTAGGGATGGGGAAATGAAGCCTCATGAAGCAATGAGGCTTTCCCCCGACTTTTCCGGGAAAAGATTCAAAGCTTCGAGAGTGTGGAGAACAGCGCCATCTGGTGCTTATTTTAAATAAAGCAGCCAGAAGCCTGTGTAAGAAGCTCTGCTAGATGAAGCAACCACAACACACTCCATAGTTTCAATGTTATGTGTACAAATAAAAGCCTTACACGTTTGTGTTTGATTTGTCCATTAAATAAATTAATTTACCCATTAAAGTGTGACAGTAAAATATAAAATGGGCTTATATGATTCAATAAGATCTAATATAAGCCTACTATCTCTCTCTACATACACACACACACATAGTGAATAAGGACATTGTGTGATAGGATCATCTGTTATTAAATGTGCTTATGACACTTGGCAGTGATAGTGCTATGTAACTGTAGGAATGACAGAAAGGTGATAAAGTTTTTAATTATTTTTATTAAGAAATAAAAGCTGTTTCACAGTGTTGCTCAGTCTATTTCTCCTCTTTTAGACAGAAGTTCCCCAGCCTTCGAGAACACTCTTTCACATGGTACAGAGGAGGCCGGAGTACAAAGAAACTGTAATGCCAATGTATGTAGATGGGGGTAGACATGTTTCTGCATTCTCCAGTATTCAAGTGGATCTTCAGCTCTTTGTATGTTTGTCTCTGTAAGGTATTTATCCACTTCTATGATCGCATCAGAAGTGTCATTAGAGCTTTGTTTGTGCTGGTCTACAGCACTGTCCAACAGAAGCCAAAGGTTTCCACCTCAGAAGTGTGAGGAGAAAAAGGAAATTACTGGGAGTGACTGTACATGTACATTGACTGAATATAAGACACATCAACGGTCAACAATTAAAAAATACAATAATTAAAAATAAAATAATAATAAATACATACTTGAGCTTGGTGTGGCCTGTTGGGTTGATGATGGTCCTTCTGTTGACTGAGTGCTTGATGATGTAGATGGTCTTTCATCTTCGGCCCTGATGACATTACCACATTCTGCTTTAAGCCGTTTGACAGCCTCTGTCATTTTAGGTCGGTTAAGGAAACCCAACTTTTTAAACCTTGGGTCCAGCAGAGTTGCCATGGCCATTATGCTGAGCGACTCCATACTCCAGATATTGTTTGCCTCTCCTCATGCAGCCGTTGAAGCATGTGAAAAGTGCTGTTCCAGCGTGTTTCCACTTTATTGATCAGTTTATGACCTGGCC